GCATTTCCAACTCTCTGCAACTAATATTTTAGCTTTTATGTGGGATGAAATATACCCCTTTGATGTCTTAGACACTTGGCTCCTCAGACAGATCTGAGACCCCCTGTTGGCATGAAGCCAAGATGTCTCCAGCCATTTCCTTTAAACCAGTTTCACCAGAAGGTGACAAAACCTCATTAGCACTTAGGTGTCACATCCAGAGGAAGTTGGGCTTTTCAGACGCTAATTGATGAGCCTCTGATGAGTGAGTACCTCTGACTGAATACATCTTTAATGACAATGTATGTATGATTACATATTGCTACTGATCACATCTTATCTACTTAAATCTGTACATTTATGTCACATGTACATTACATCATGTCACATGTATGTTACACCTCCCGTAGACAGTCGATGTGCGTGCGTGAGACCTCCCGTAGACAGTCGATGCGCGTGCGTGAGACTTCCCGTAGACAGTCGTGATACGTGCTTGACCTCTGGGAACTGCCTGCACACACACACACACCAGACATGACATTACATCCAAAGGCAAAAGCCTATAACCCCTGCCAGGTTTTTGCCATCTATGCCTTCCTGTCGCAAAGCAGGAAGTCAGCAGAAATCCCTCCAAAGTGAAGTGTTGTCACCAGAACTAGTGTCCCCATCGGAGGATTCCCCCTGGTTGTTCTTGTGACCGTTCAGAATGTGGGATTTCCTTTCCACTCTTGGAGATAACGGTCATCAGAACAATTAGGACTCTATCCATTTGTAAAGCATAACACCGGCCATACATAGATGGAAATCTGGCCGCTTCAGTAGGGATTGGCCAATTTCTGATCTACATATGGACACTATTAACTGTACACAAGTCAATCTACCTATCCGCTTCTATACAACCACCCTCTCTGATTTTTTTTTTTTTTTTTTGCCACTTAAACCGGAGCTCCACCCAAAAGGGGAAGTTCCACTTTAAGGACTGCTCCCCCGGTCCCCATTAAGGATTGGCACCTTTGGGGAGCAGGTACCCGTATTTGACAGGTACTATCTCCCACCTATGGTCCAATCGTCTAGGCCAGTGGTGGGCAACCTTTTTTTTTTCAACTGAGCCAAATCTCGCCAAAACCACGATTGAAATTTATTTTGAGAGCCACATTTTTAAAACTGAAAATACATCCCCCATAGAGTAATTCATCCCCCATATAGCAATTCATCCCCCATATAGCAATTCATCCCCCCTATAGTAAGCCCCCCCCTATAGTAAGCCCCCCCCCATATAGTAAGTCCCCCCTGTGTCAATTCACTTACCTTTGCTCCGCGCGTTCCTCTCGTCGTGCTTCCCGCGCCGTTCTGGTCTTCAGGGCGGACTGTGAGAGGAGAGGAGTTCGTCACGCTGCCCCGCCTACATCCTGGCTGCCCCGCCTACATCCTGACAGCTGCAGAGTCCTGACTTTTGGGGCGGCCGCCCGAGAGGAGGGAGGGGAGCGGGCGGCCGTCCGAGGGGAGGTGAGGGGGCGGCCGCCCGGCACACGCCCGTCCGAGAGGAGGGGGGGGGGGGAGGGGAGCGGGCGCCCGGCACACAGAAGAGCCGCATTTAAGCTTGTAAAGAGCCGCATGTGGCTCGCGAGCCGCGGCTTGCCGACCACTGGTCTAGGCGATCGGAAGCGGAAGGTGTCCTCCCTCCCTCCCTCCCTGTAGTCTTTTTGGACATGTGACAGGTCCCAGAAGACTACAGGACTATTCATGAAGCGCAGCGCTACTCGCGCATGCGCAGTGGGTACCCGGCTTTGAAGCCACAAGCTGTCACAGCCCGGGTGCCCACACTGAAGATGCCGGCCTCCTGGAATACAGGACGGCCGGTGAAATGGGCTGTGCGGGACACCACAGGACCGAGGGACAGGTAAGTGACTGTTTTTTCAAAGTCGGCAGCTACAGTTTTTGTAGCTGCTGACTTTTATTTTTTGACAGCGTGAGTGGAACTCCACTTTAATCAGTGCTGTAGGCGATAGCTGTGGGCACTGATCAGTGTATTCTGACAGTGGAGTAGGCTCCCCACTGTCAGAATACAATAGCTCAGCAGGGAGGATCCCTCCATCCACATTGATTGTGTGGATAGGGGAATCAACTTAAACCCCCCCCCCTCTTTCTGACCAGGCCATTTTTTGCATTATGGCGCCGCGTTACTTTAACTGACAATTGCACGGTCATGCAATGCTGCACCCAAATGAAATTTACGTCTTTTTTTTTTTTTTTTTTTTTTTTTTTTCCCACGAATTGAGCTTCCTTCGATGGGGTGTTTTTTTTTTTTTTTTTTTTTTTTTAGTAGTGCAAAAAAAAAAAAAAAAACAATTTTTGACTTTTGCTATTAAAAGTGTCGAGTAAAAAAAATGAAGAAAAAACTAATTTCGTCATAAATTTAGGCCAAAATGTATTCTGCTACATGTTTGCTAAGAAAAAAAATCCCAGTACGTGTTTGGTTTACGTGAAAGTTATGGCGATATATATAGTGATTTTTTTTTTTTTTCCTATTTTTTTTTTTCTTTTTACTAGTAATTGCGGCGATCAGCAACTTATAGCGGGACTGCGGCGGGCATTCTGACATTGGGGGGAACTGACTTGGTGTCACTGACATCCCCAGTGACACCAATACAGTGATCAGTGTTAAAAAAAAAAAAACAACAAAAAAAAAAACACTGACAATGTACTAATGGTACTGCATACACCTATGAAACGGCACCAAGCTACGGTACCTAAAATATCTCTGTAGGTGACGCATTAAAATCCTTTACAGGTTACCTGTTTAGAGTTACACATTATTATTGCTCTTGCTATAACGTTCACGGCGATTTCTCATCATTGATGTATGCGTGCATGACCTACCTATGTCTTTCCCCTTGGGGGGTTACGCATTTAATTTTTTTTTTAAACTTTATTTTATGTAGAACTTCTCTTTTTTACACTTTTTTTTTTTTTTTTTATTTATTTACTTTATTGCTATCACAAGGGATGGACAACATCCCTTGTGAAAGCATGGGCTGTGACAGGTCCTCTTTCTGGGGGAAATCTGGGGTCTATTCGATCCCAGACCTCTCCTCTGGCCTCTAAAGAAGCCAGTCAGACACAGATCGGTCTGATCAGCTGCTTTACTAGCCAACATTCGTTCTCCAAATCAAAGATTCACATGACAGGCTAGATATTCTGTGTTCCTATTAAGGTTGTTCACACAGATGCGATCCACACACATTGCGTTTTGAGTGCCATTATGAAAAGGGTCTGCGAGTTTGTAGTGGTGCATTTCAGACTCACAAGTGATAGAGTGGCATTTGGAGATTAGTGTTCACATAGGCAAGCATTTGCAGTGAAGTCAACGGGACACAATTTTTGCATTGAAGTCAATGAGCGGCAGTTGTGGAGAGAGAGAGCTGACAAAATCGCACCTGTACTGAAATAGCACAGAAACCAGAATCCACATTGCGATTTCAGTACACATAAGTGTGAACCCAAGCTAGAGAGGCAGCTTAACAGATAAGATAACAGAGCCTCTGGAACTCCAAAAAATATAAATAAGGAATATGTTTGAGAGCTGCTAGCAACCCAAACAGGGCATCCAACCAAAGCAATAAATATCAAGACCGTGCTCTTCCCAAAAAATATCTCTTATAATACAAAAGTGCTGAAAAACAATTATAAATAAACTTGAAATAAAGTGTGGGAAAGTGTCCAACTCCAATGTGTGGAAATCTATTCAAAAACATAACATTATTAATCAATATATCTTAACCGCCTCCCGCCTGCCATATAGTACAATGACGGGCGCAAGGTGGTTCTCTCGTTCTGGGAGGATGTCATATGTCCTCCCATTCTAACCGTGCATGCGCTGCTCAGGGAGTGCGCGGTGATCTGCGGTGCACTGTGTCCCTCGATCAACGGAAAGAGCCGAAGATGTCGGCTCAGTCATGTGATCAGATGTGTCCATTCACAGCTGATCACATGTAAACAGGGAAATGCTGGTTATCTGCATTTCTCCTCACGAGCTGTCACGCTGGCAGCTTGTGAGAAGAGAGCTGGTAATCGGCATTCCTCGGAGGGGACATGTACACAGATCGTCAGGGCACTGATGAGTGTGCCCTGTCGATCTGTGTAGCCCCAGCAGGGCCACCAGTCAGTGCCAGCTGTCAGTGCTTATCCATGCCACATCAGTGCCCATCTGAGCTTCCTTTCAGTGTCACCCATCAGTGCCATATATGAGTAATGCCCATCAGTGCCCATCACTGCAGCCTCATTAGCACACATCAGTGAAGAAAAATCACTTATTTACAAAATTTTAAACAAACTAAATTTTTTTTTTTTTTTTTTTCTTTTCAAATTTTTCAGTGGATTTTGGTTTAAGAAAAAATAAAAAACCCGCAAGTGATTAAATACCATCAAAAGAAAGCTCTGTCACAAAAAAATGATAAAAATGTCATATGGGTACAGTGTTGCACGACTGCGCAATTGTCATTCAAAATGTGACCGCACTGAAAGCTGGAAATTGGCCTGGGCAGGAAGGGGGTATAAGTGCCCTGTAGGCTAGTGGTTAAAGTGATTAACATCAACAAAAATCAAAAAAGTATTTAAAATTATTAATTACAAAAGTTTGGGAAAGTGTTCAAAGAAAAAGGCAAAAAATCTATACATTTGTGAAACAATTTGTGAACCGATGGAAAGAAATGTATTATATCCAACCAGGGCAAACAACCAAGGAAATTTATAGCACTCTACCCAAAAAGTATCTCTAATAATGCTAAAAGTGTTAAAAAAACAAATATAAAAAAAACTTGTAATAAAAAAGTGTGGGGAAAAAACTGAAATGCTCCAAACTTTTTCTTTATTTTTCATTTTTTAATTTTTTTTCTTTTTTTTGGATGTTATTAGATATATTTTTATAGTTTAATACCCATACAGGCATTGATCTTCTATGCAGACTAAGGTGAAGACACATTTTTATAGACCGCAAATCTCATGGTGAATTCTGCTTTCACAGTTTGGTGCGTGCCATGTCTTGCTTCTAATGAAACTCTTCAAGAGATGTGCCGCAAAGAATCCCTGATCTGCAAATGCATTGGAATAAATAGAAAAAATCTAAACCGTTATGAAGTGGAATATCTCTGTGACCGTAAAATGGAGAAGGTAAGCTGTATTCCTCTTTAAGTTTGTTTAAAGTGACTTTCATAAAATCTAATATGTATTATTAACTCAACGTTTTAAACATGAAGAAATATTTACAAAAACGTACTTTCCTGCAGAATTCACACTGAGGGTCAATTCACACTACATGCATTTCCGTTACTTTTTTTTTTTTTCTGTACCAAAAACGCACAAAGTAGGTTATATGGTTGTCAATGACATAGTTCACATCAGTGCTTGCAGTTCCAGTGTGTTTCGGATGCAGAAAAAAAAAAGTAGAACAGGCTGCATTTTTCCTGCATGGAACTATACTGGAACGTGGTAAAACACACCAGAATGCACCGAAAATGCACTGGACCGCGCATGTACCTAGTTTAAATTGAAGAAAAAGAGCAGGGGGGAAACATTAACTGAAACGCACCGGAACATGTCAAACGCTCATGCAGAAATGCTTCCGGATCACATCTGGACTGTGTGTTTTTATAGTGTGACCTGGCCTTTAGTGCGGTGAACAGTGGTTTACTGCACCGTAACCTCTCTGGCAGCTGTCCATTCTGTTTGAATTCGTCCTCCATTTATAAATGTACTACCAAATGTCAATGGAGTAGAAAATGAACAAGTATTTTCCTTTTTGTTCTTTCGCTTCCTCTGCAGGAGATATTTAAGTAATCCGTTCCATTTTAGACATTTTAGCAGATATGCTTTGCTTCGTGGCCAGGGCAGGAATTATACCCGCTGTCGTGCTCGACAGGCGATGCTGATTGCGAACCATTCAAGTGAATGGATCTGCACTGCAACCACCCCCAACACGTAGGCTTGCCTGGTAATTAAAGGGTTAAAATAGGCCTTGAGGAGGGGATACAATGCCTCCTCACCGCCTGTCTAATGCTGTCTGAAGCATCAGACAGTAAAGTAAGTCACATATTATGTTAACTTTTTAAATTTTTTTTTATTTTTTATTTCAACCACAATCTCTCCCCTCCACCACCACACACTCCGATCAGAAGCGGAAGGTGTCCTCCCTCCCTGTAGTCTTCTGGGAAATGTGACAGGTCCCAGAAGGCTATGGAACCATTCACAAAGCGCGGCGCTACTCGCGCATGCGCAGTGGGAACCCGGTTGTGAAGCTGCAAGCTTTCACAGCCAGGTGCCCACACTCCAGATGCCGGGGAGAGAGGATGGCCGGTGAAACCAGCTGTGGTGAGGACACCGCTGGACCGAGGGACAGGCAAGTGTCTATTTTAAGAGTCAGCAGCTACAGTTTTTGTAGCTGTTGAATTTTATTTATTTTTTTATTCAACTGGAACTCCACTTAAAATACCAGGCGTGCATTACGTACAGAGTGCAGAGATTGGTCGGGTTACATACAGTGCATAGTTCAGGGGTGCAGGGTTCAGCCGCCTTCTGCAGCTGCTTACCTCTGCATCCCCCACCTACATCTAACTTTCACCTCTTTTCAGCTCTGACCTCTGCATGCAACCTTCCCTTCACTGCCCCATCTTCTCCCCCTCTGCTTCCTAAATGCTCCACCAACTTCCACATGTATTACTTTTGCTGCTATATTAAGCTGAAGCACCCAGCTGTCTCTAGTACCTTCCCGCACACTGTAGGTAGCTCCGCATCCACACTGCACCCCGAGCACCTGCATCTCTCTCTTGTCCCCATCCTGCACTCAAGTGATCAGATCTGTGGGAGCCATTGGGAGACCAGCTGTCAAGTTTCAGCTGAAAAACTCCTATCCTATCAAAACTATTGGGACATCTGTCTTTACATGCAAATAAACGTTAATGGCATCCCAGTCTTAGTCTGTAGGGTTCAATATTGAGTTGGCCCACCCTTTGCAGATATAACAGCTTCAACTCCTCTGGGAAGGTTGTCCACAAGCTTTAGGAGTGTCTATGGCAGGCGTCACTAAATGGCGGACCGCAGTCCAAATACGGAGAGTGACAGTCCTGTCCGGACTGAGCCCATGCCACTTAGCACCCTGAGTTGACTCCTCCTCCTGCAGCTGTTAAAAAAAAAAATGGAAGAATGGCACCTGTTCTGTATGTACTCATCTGCCGCCGCCGTCACCGCTGCTGTTGAAGTTACTGCAGGGAAAAGGGAATTAAGATCTGGGGTAGAGGGGACTGTGATATCAGAGGGGGGAATCTGTGAATGGGGGAGCTTTGAGATTGGGTAACTGTGATGTAGGGGGGGCTGTGAGAGGGGGGAAGTTGTTATATGGGCGGCTATGAAGTGAGGGGGGAAGTTATGATATGGGGGGCTATGAAGTGAGAAGGGAGAGCTGTGATATGGGGGGGGGGGAATGCAAGAGCGGGGGAGCTGTGATATGGGGACTGTGAAGTGAGAGGGGGGAGCTGTAATACTGGGGGGCTTTGATATTGGAGAACTGTGATGTTAGACGGAGCTGTGATATGGGGGTCTGTGATGTCAGGAGGGGGAGCTGTGATGTGCGGGGTTGTGATGTCAAGGAAAGACACTGCTGTAAAGGGGGCCTGTGACATAAGCAGGGCTATAATGTTGGGGGCCTCTTATGTGAAAGGGAGTTGACATGTACGGTAGGCTGTGATGGGAAAGGGGGGACTGAGGAAATTAATGTAAATAAGGGTGTGATGTGAAACACCTGAGTAATAGAAGAAAAATTGAGTTTCGGAAAAGACAATGTTACCAACTGGACCTCCGTGAATTTTAATTCAGTACCCCTGGTCTATGGGAATGTTTGACCATTCTCCCAGAAGTGCATTTGTGAGGTCAGGCACTGATGTCGGACGAGAAGGCCTGGCTTTCAGTCTCTGCTCTAATTCATCCCAAAGGTGTTCTATCAGGTTGAGGTCAGGACTCTGTGCAGGCCAGTCAAGTTCCTCCACCCCAAACTCGCTCATCCATGTCTTTATGGACCTTGCTTTGTGCACCGGTGTGCAGTCATGTTGGAACAGGAAGGGGCCATCCCCAAACTGTTCCCACAAACTTTGGAGCATGAAATTGTCCAAAATGTCTTGGTTTGCTGACCAGGGTGGATTTGATTTAAATCCAGCTTTAAATCATGATTGAAAAGGCTTGATTTAAATCATATAATTTTTAAAAGGCAACTGTCATCTCTGACCCGCTGTTGACTCACCGATAGTCCCATTCACTTTAATGGGATGGCTGGTGATGCAGCAGCAGTAGCTCAACAAGGTGAGTGAGGGATGTGGTGGCAGCAGGTGAGTGGATGCCCGCTAACAGGCGCTGCCATGATGGATCTAAAATGACAGCTCTTTAAATGTATGGAATCCGACTAATTCTTTCTGGTAGTTAGAATCTTTAATATTTGCAAACCAAATGAAGAATAATAAGCTGTTTGGTTAGTAAAACGGCGATATCAGAACCTATTTTAGGTTAATCACACATAGCTGGAGAACTTCTCAAAATTATTTTTATTTCATGTTTTTTTTTTTTTTTTTTCTCATGGTTACTGTGAAATCATGTGAAGGCACCAATGCACTGCATTGGTGATCTCAGCTTGCAGAGCTTGGATTCATTGAATGAGTTTACCAAAAATTTAAATAGTGCAGAATATACAGCCTCATGCTATATAACTAAGCTCCATTTCATGCTGAATAAACTAAATTATTAAATCTATCTTAAACTATCTGTGATAGATTTTTACTCCAAAAGCATTTTATTAAAATAAATTTGCTACAAAATAAAATCCGATTTTAAATTTAAATAAATCCTATATTTTTTTTTTTTTTGTTAATTGATTTTTTTTTGTATCCACCCTGATGCTGATCCCTTAAGAGTTCCCTTCATTGGAACTTGGGGACCGAGCCCAACCCCTGAGAAACAACCCCACACCATAATCCCCCCTCCACCAAACTTTACACTTGGCACAATGCAGTCAGGCAAGTACTGTTTTCCTGGCAACTGCCAACCGCAGCCATGCCCATCAGATTGCCAGACAGAAAAGTGTGATTTGTCACTCCCAGAGAACATGTCTCCACTGCTCTAGAGTCCAGTGCCGGCGTGCTTTACACTACTGCATCCGACACTTTGCATTGTACTTTGTGATGTAAGGCTTGGATGCAACTGCTTGGCCATAAAAACCCATTCCATGAAGCTCTGTATGCACTGTTGTGCTAATCTGAAGGTCACATGAAGTTTGGAGGTCTTTAGCTATTGACTCTGCATACAGTTGGCGACTTCTGCGCATTGTGCACTTCAGAATGCGTTTAGTAGGGCTCACCGCACTATGTGCACATTTCAGCAACTCGCTGTCAGTGATTTCCACCTGTTTGGACCCCCTAAAAGAATTCCTTGGAGGGTAGCATTTCAGTACTGATGATGAAGTGAATCAGGGTGTCCTAGGATGGTTCAGGTGTACTGAAAAATCTTTCTATGCAGAACTTTTCCAGACATTAAACGCTGGGATAAGTGTATAAATGTAGCAGGGGAGTATGTTGATAAATAAACAGCTTCCACTCCTTGAAATGTGTCCTTTTATTATATAAACTCAAAAGTCCCAGTTTGACTTGACTGCCCCTCGTATATATTCCATTTTATGTTCGTTTTGTTTTAATTTTCAGGTAGCAGAGCACCACGGCCTATTAAGCTCCTGTAAAGCCTTTCTGTTAGACAGCTGTGATGTAAAAATACATTTTGAATAATTTAGGATTGAGCCCTTCTTTTTTCGATCCTCCTACATAAGGCATCCTTACTAGTGGATTAACGCTGCTTGCCAGAGAGGTTAGCGGTTGTACTAATTCTTCCAAGAGCCCAGAATGTTTGTCATTACAGTATAATTGTGATGTATAGAATGTAACCAAATTTTAAAATGACAATTTAATTGAATTCTATTACCAGAATATGTTAATGTTTGAAGTAACTTTTGAGGGAAATTTACTAAGACGGGAGCAGCCGGAATCTGGAGCAGCTGTGCATGGCAACTAGTAGGCTTCTTGCTTTAATTTTTCTACAAGCTGATTTGTTGCCTTGCTCAGCTGCTCCAAATTCTCTGTTCCAGTTTTTACTTTAGTAATTTCCTGCCCATTGCATTTGCATTTGATTTCTAATTGTGTGTGCATGGGGGACTAATTATGTTAAACACACTTGCTGCTGATCGTTGCCTAGATGTTTTCACACTAGGGAGCTCAGGAGCAGAATATTTTCATGCAAAGTTGCTGCCATGTTTCTTAATTTTTATGGTGTGAATTTTAAAAATGGGTGCACTTCAACTAAATACTAAATTCTCTTTTGTGCATTTATTTTAAGGGTACCGAATACTTTCTTGTGAAGTGGAAAGGATGGCCGGAGTCGTATAATACATGGGAGCCCATAGTAAACCTCAAGTGCCCGAAACTTTTAGAGCAGTTTTACAATGACTTTTACATTTATTTATCTAAACTTAATGCTGGCAAATTAAATAAGCTAAAAAATAACATTAAATCTGTGAGCCACTTTGCTGCTAACTTTATAGTGAAGAAGGCTAAACAACGAATTGCACTCAAGCGCTGGGAGGAGGAACTGAACAGGAAAAAATCTCATAACGGAATGCTCTATGTAGAAAATGATGTAGACCTTGAAGGGCCTCCCAGAGACTTCTATTACATTAATGATTACAAGACAACTCCTGGAGTCATTACCTTGGGTGAAGCCATTGTTGGCTGTGAATGCACAGACTGCTTTACAGGTACATGTTGCCCTATAGAGGCAGGGGTTGTCTTTGCTTACAATGAACACAAACAAATTAGGATTCAACCTGGACGCCCTATTTATGAATGCAATGCTAGATGTAAATGTGGTCCAGATTGTCCAAACAGAGTGGTACAGAAAGGACCCCCTTACTCTTTATGCATCTTTAGGACAGACGATGGACGTGGCTGGGGGGTTAAATCGCTCCAGAAAATCAAGAAGCACAGCTTTGTTATGGAATATGTTGGTGAGGTATGTGAATATTCATCATTGTTCCTGTAAATATAACCAAATTGGTATATATTCATTAATCTACATTCTCTGTTTACAAGTTACTCGGATTCTGTAGTTGGTTTCCCACTGATATGTGGGTGGATTACTTACCATGCAGTATATCTGAGGACTCTCAGATTTTGAAAAGAAAAAATGAAAGGTGTTATATTTATTTATATACTGCTCAAAAAAATTAAAGGAACACTTTTTTTGAAAACACATGAGATCTCAATGGAGAAAAATATCATGCTGGATATCTACACTAATATGGACTGGGTAATGTGTTAAGAATGTAAGGGATGCCCCATCATTTGATGGAAATGAAAATTATCAACCTACAGAGGACTGAATTCAAAGGCACCATTTTAGTCCATTTTGCTGAAATTCCATTGCAGCAACTCAAAATGGTACACAGATGGTGTCCTGGTGTATTGCCTCCTAGATCTGGACCAGGACATCACTGAGCTCCTGTACAGTCTGAGGTGCAATCTGGCGGCATTGGATGGACTGAAACATGATATCCCAGAGGTGTTCTATTGGATTTAGGTCAAGTGAGCTTGGGGGCCATTCAATGGTATCAATTCCTTCATCCTCCATGAACTGCCTGCATACTCTCACCACTTCTGGCCAGGCACTGTCGTCCTCTAGGAGGAACCCAGGATCCACTGCACCAGTGTAGGGTCTGACAATGGGTCGAAGGATTTCATTCCGATACCTAATGGCAGTAAGGGTGCCATTGTCTAGCCTATAGAGGTCTGTGTGTCCCTCCATGGATTTGCCTCCCCAGACCATCACTGACCCACCAACAAAACGGTCATACTGAACGATGTTACAGGCAGCATAACATTCTCCATGACTTCTCCAGACCCTTTCACATCTGTCACATGTGCTCAGGGTGAACCTGCTCTCATCTGTGAAAAGCACAGCGCACCAGTAGCAGACCTGTCAATTCTGGTGTTCAATGGCAAATATCAGTCAAGCTCTATGGTGTCAGGCAGTGTGCACTGGGCCCACTAGAGGACGTCGGGCCCTCAGGCAACAGTCATGAAGTCTGTTTCTGAGTGTTTGGTCAGAGACATTCACACCAATGGCCTGCTGGAGGTCATTTTGTAGGGCTCTGGCAGTAGTCGTCCTTTTCCTCCTTGCACAAAGGAGCTGATACCGGTCCTGCTGATGGGTTAAGGACCTTCTACGGCCCTGTCCAGCTCTCCAAGAGTAACTGCCTGTCTTCTGGAATATCCTCCATGCTCTTTAGACTGTACTGGGAGACACCACAAACCTTCTGGAAATGGCACGTGTTGATGTGACATCCTGGAGTAGTTGGACTACCTGTGCAACCTCTGTAGGGTCCAGGTATCGCCTCATGCTACCAGTAGTGACACTGACCCTAGCCAACTGCAAAACCAGTGAAAAAAGTCAGGAAAGATGAGTAGGGAAAACAAATGTCAGGGGCCTTCACCTGTAAAACCATTTCTGTTTTGGGGGTTCTCATTGTTGCCCATCTAGTGTACCTGTTGTTAATTTCACTAACACCAAAGCAGCAGAAACTGATTACCAACCCCCTCTGCTACTTAACTGACCAAATCTATATCCCAGGAGTTTATTTGACTTGATCGATATATAATCTCTCGTGTGGGGTTTTTTTTTTGTTTTGTTTTTTGAGCAGTGTGTGTATATTATGCTTTTAAGCTTAAGCAGTATTAGAAGAGGAGCATGCGATGGCTTTTTTTTTTTTTCCCCAAATTATACTTGCCTAGGTAGATGCAGCATCAGTCTCCCGCTGGCTCGAAGTGTGAGAACTCAGCGATCACATGCCTGCCCAGAGCAGTGACTATCAGTCAATCTCAGTAGAGCGCTGAAGCCCGGGTGCCGCTTCAGACTCTGGGAACTTTAAAGCCAAGATCTTTCCCCAGCCTGGACCGGCTGAGTGACATCAGCCAACAGTAAGCTTCAGCCCACTATCGGTTTAAAATGGGTCACAGGAGTGCACAATGAACTGCAGTCCTGTGCTCCACAGGAGAAGTACAGCCAAAAGAGCTGTGGCTGTTCTCCTTTTTAAGCTCAAAAACATTCTTAGAGCTGCTGTATAAAGGATTGTGGGTTGCTGAAATTCAGGTATGTAAAACCTATGCATAAAATAAATTAATACAGAGATGCGTTTGATTTTTGTATTTTATATCTTACTGGTGTTCAATATGCTGGTGATCAGTTGCACATTTATTGGACCACTCAGAACACTATGAAGATTTGGTATTGTAATTATATACAATGTATTTGTCTGAAGCAGTTCACAAAATACATGTTTTTAACCAAACAATTTTTCATATGTGAATTAAAACCCACCTGAATTTGACTTGAAATCATCCTCTTTTATAATTCTCCGTACAGCAGAGCGGGCAGTAAAAGGGCCAGTACTAGTAGCCAATAAGGTATGCTGAATGCTCATGTGCTAACAAGGGCATGCTGACAGGAGGACAGATTGAAACTTGTCAGTCTGCTGTCTGTGTAATCACTGTCTGAGGGCAGGGAGGTGACCAGGCCATTTTGCTTGGCTACAGTAGAATAAAGTTGTTATCCTTTTCCGGACTGTAAATCTCAAAACAAAACTAAATTGACAAATAAAACATGCTTTTACAGGTAAAACCTGTAGGTGTTTTCCTGACGTTTGACTTTAAATGTAATTTTAAACAGTATCTAAATTTTTGTTTTATACTAGCTGCAAATGGTAATCAAACTGGGAGAGGAAGGAACAACGTTGTAAGGTTTTACTGCATTGTTGAGAAGTAGAATGTGCTGATTGAGGTAGAGAGAACACAGAAATAAAAGGTGAGGAAGACTTATAAAAGTGATGTAACAGATATTACGGAAAAAATGTAAACTTAGCCTACCGTAAAAGCTTCAGTGAGAAACCTGCCATTTATTCATTCATTTCTGGAAAGTAACTGGTCACCCCAAGTCTGATGTAATAGTCCATCATGAAGGCAGAAAAAATCTACAGGCTGACTTTTTCCACTAGTTTCAGGACTGGCTGGCCTCAATTTTGAACTGACTATCTGGCAAATGTACAGTTTTTTTTTTTTTTTTTTTTTCAACACAGTGCTATTATTTTCAACACAAGTGAATAAAGCTCAAAATCCTTCTAATAGCTTTTATTTCCATACACACAAATGCATTGGGAACACTACACATTCTGTTCCAAATCAAAATATGAAGAAAAAATATCAAATTTGTGTTGTTCCTCTAAAAAAAAAAACTGAAGAAAAGTGAATATTCGTCTGTTCAAAAAAAAAAATAGCAGTGTTTGTATTCTTCTTTACAAACTCAAACATTCACTATATAAACTGAAAAATGTTTGAAGATTTTGCTTTCCTTTGATTCACTTAATTTAATATTTAGTTGTATAAGCACTGTTTCTGAGAACTGCTGTACATCTGTGTTGCATGGAGTCAACGAACTTCTGGCACCTGTGAACAGGTATTCCAGCCCAGGATGATTGGACTACATTCCACAGTTCTTCTCTATTTCTTGGTTTTGCCTCAGAAACTGCATTTTTGATGTCACCCCACAAGTTTTCTCTTGGATTAAGATCTGGGGATTGGGCTATTGAAGCCAAAGACCTAAAGTATAGAGGGCGTTCATAGCAAGGAAATCCACTCCCACAAAATTTACCATTGCATATGGAAGGCCTCTCTGTAGACGTGCACGAAACGCGTAGGAGGAGCCAATTACGCCGCTACGTCACGCCGTCAGAGCAGCATGGAGCTCCGGCGGCCACCCCATCTCATGGATGACGCCCAGTACCAGCCCTGAACCTCCAGAGAGGGAGCCTGTTAACCCTTTGAGATCAGCACCCATCCATCCCCAAGTGGAGCTCTGGACATCCCTTGATCACCCCATAAGGCTTTTGGATCCTACCACCCTAAGAGGGAGATATTTCCACTTCTGGCCTGGCCCTGATGACCTTATCTGATGACATCTGGATATTATTTATAAACGCGCAATATTACTGTGCGTTCGGTGAGTGCGCATTTCTTCTGTTCACAAGAGCACCATCACCGATTTAAATCATCCAGGACCTCACTGGCACATATTTGTCATTTTATGAACGATCATTTTTTAGTTTATTGCTATTTGATGAACTTTTTACTGCATTTTTACATATTGTTTGAACCTTTTACTGCTTTATTATCTTACTATATACTTATCACTCTATAGCGCTGCACTTCTATATACACATGGAAGGCCTGTTTTGGTTGGAGTGAGGACAGGAGGTTTAACCACAGGAATTATTCTATCACTCATATTCCTGCCTTCCTCCACTTTGGTGTTGACCAGTGTCTTCTAGAAACCTCTTAGAATAGCAGCTCACAAGATGTTTCTATTTAGTGTAAATACCAAATAATATGCTGTGTAAATAATTGTGAATCGCTCACACCATACACATACCCATACAAATGTGTGAATTTTTAAATAGAAATGTGCTGCCGCTCTCCACTATCCATAAATAAACAACTTAAATCCTCCAACAAATGAACTACTGTATAAATGTCCATGCAAAATCCGTGATTAACTTGCATCCACTGTTGTATAAAAATGGAAAGCTCCTCAGTTCACCTCATGTGATATATCCAAAAACAATGTGTACACCTCCACTTCTTGTGCTCTCACCTTATGTATATGAACAAGCCGCTAAGTCAGGTCATATATAGCATGTGTCCCTTATTTGGACTGTGGTGAGATGGTAGTGCTGTCTAGTGGGTCTGAGTCTCCTTAACTGTCCTAGTAATCCTCCATCAGATCAAATGCCAAAAAGATAACCAAAACATAGTGCTTTTATCCTTACAAAAACATTTAATTTAAAATATGCAGTATTCCACTCACATGTAAAACGTAAATATGCACTATTTGCAAAATAACTCCTCCAGAGTGCCGCTAGTGGTCTTGTTTAGCCTTCCTTCTTACACAGCCAGCTAACAGCTCTCTCCACTGCTTGCTGAGCGTTGTGACATCAAAGCCCCTCCCTTACGCGTTACGCCACAGGGTTATGTGGCTTAATCAAGGGGGAATGAATCATTCACAATGTTAGTGCACAGGACATTGTCTAACAAAGAGCTATTACTTCAGAGCAGAAACAGTCTCATGTCAAGATACATGCGCCTCTGCTTAAAAATATGGATGTTTATACTGTTGTAGTGGCAGCCATCATATCTGGTGAGTTTTCAATTCACTGCAAGAGACGATGACGGCAATTTTGATTGATGCTTTGCTACAAGCAAGAGCACTTTATGGTGGTGGATGGACATTATTTCAAATATATTTTAGACAATTTTTGTTTGCACTATTTGTTTTTTTGAAATCATGGACATTTATTTATTTATTTTGATGCACTTCAGTTTCATTATTCTATGTTTAGCGCTACACTTTACGTTTTCATTAAGTCTGTTTGAGTTGGCAGCTCTTTCTTGTGAAGAGCTTTCTCTTGTTTCAAGGCGGTTATAAGAACAAAACTTTCCTCCTTTGTATAAGGGGGTGTCCTGCTCCCCTAATGAGGATGTTGTCCTTTTCCATGGCAAGAAAATTGTCCTACATTGCTTAGTTGTGGTCAGGACTGTCAGGGTCTACCCTCTATTTGCAAGATTGAGTCCCTCTTTTTCCTGCCCGTGGGCCCTCCTAGACTCTGCCTTCCACTCCGACTTTGCCAGGTGGATCATGCAACTTTCCAGGGCATACATCCTTAACGTTCTACTATTTCCAACTGCCCATTCCACCAGAGCAGTTTGTGTCACCTCGGACACAGGTCTCTTTTCAGTCCTAATAACTCCTTTTTTGCTTTCTGGAAAAACTGGAGCTTCAAGGACTGCAAGGGTTTTATGAATAAGCTCTGGGCCCTTGAAAAACTTTCGCCAGTGTCCAGTCACCTGAAGGTAGCATTTCGCCCATGATCTATGAATACCAGTCCTATACTGTACTCCAAGATATGTTTACAGGTAAGTCAAACTATATATAGAAGAGACTACACATTTTGAAAAGTTTCCCTTATTTTCTGGTAACATATCAAATATAAATAACTAGTGTTGCACAGATAGTGATATCAGTATTGGTGCCGATATGAAGCATTTGCACGTGTACTTGTGCTCATGCAAATGCTCCAATTCTAAAACCGATACCTTCAAGTCTGCAGACTGTAACCATCGCCTTTTATGGAGAAAGATGTAAGAGGACATGCGTGAGGGCGGGTTCCGGATGTCTGACGTCACACATGTCAATCGGGGTCCAGCAGTGTAAGATGTGAAATCCGGACCGCAGATACTCCGGAAAATGCTGTGCCGCTACACCACCAGGGCAGAGGCAGTTGAGCTGGGCGTTGTGTAAAAAATAAGTGCATCCAAAGGCAATGATTAATTTTAGGTTTGGTGGCCTACCAGGGCAGTGGCAAAGCAAATAAGTATAGGAAATAAATAAGTTAACTTTAGATTTATTTCTTTACACAGTAAATTCAATAATTTTTAAGACTGCTGGGCTATCATTACATCACCAGGGCAATGTCTGAGTTAGTTCTTCAAAATTATTATAAAGAAACGGTAATAATTTTTCTTAGTCTAAAAAAAAAAAAAAAAAAAAAAAAAAAAAACCCTGCCAAATGATACTAAAAATAGGTATCGGTATTGTATTGTACTTGAGGAGCAAGAATCTGTACTCTGTCTTAAACTGGTATTGGTGCATCCTGTAAATATCAGGACAGCACTACCCCGTTTTTGCAAAGTAGGCACCCCAAGGTGATCATTTTTTTTTATAAGTCTTCCAACAAGTCTTTTGTTAAACAGTTGCACAAAATAGGTGGTCAGTGGCATTTCGGGATACTATAGGAATTTGAACCTGTTACTTTCCTTGCTGTGTCCCTTTTTGGGGAGGACCCCCTTCACTTGTACCTGTTGTTATGGTGGTCCCAGAGACAGGAAGTGAGGAAAAACAGGGATACAAGCAGTGGACAGTGAGCTTTCCCTGTCCTAGCGGGATTTCCCTTCCTCCCAGTAATGATGGTTGACTTACCCAATGTATTTAGATTTTGGAAACTATTGTATGGGAGCTGAATGTGGCCAGACACCGTTTAATTTGTTCTTTTTTCCTATATGTTTTTTCAGGTGATAACAAGTGAAGAGGCAGAAAGAAGGGGTCAGCAATATGACAGCACAGGAATCACTTACCTGTTTGATCTGGACTATGAATCAGACGAATTCACTGTGGATGCTGCTCGATACGGAAATGTCTCACACTTTGTAAATCACAGCGTAGGTGGCTTTATTTTTATTAAATGTCTGCAGTAAATATAAACTAAAACTTTGTTTAGTGTTTTTTACTTAAGAGTACACTTAACGTGGTGATAGAATAAATGTAATGTTTACCCTTGTTAGAGGTTACAAATATAAATGTAATATTAAGCGAACAACCCTCCTGTATTCTTTCATACAGCTCAGCTTCCTTCTGATATCTAGAGAACATTCACGAAAGGTTCCAACCTAGTGGCTACCTGTGTACTGTATTTGTCTAGCTCAGCCTTTCTAAATCTGATACATTAATGTGATTATCAGTGGGAAGAATGCTCCTTTTTAAACTTGTGGTCATTGGGAAGAATTACCCCCTCACAGATAGCTGAAAAGATCATTGGTGTCAGTGGGAACTTATCTGAGAGGCAGGAATTGCTCAAGGAACCCCTAGCACCCTCTGAAGGATTCCATGGAACCCTTCTTGAGAAACCCTGGTCTAGCTGTTTAACTGCAGATCCCAAGGTACCCAAGGGCTGTATCACAATAGCAATTTTGTCACCAGCCACAGAAGTGGGAATTGTCAACTCACCATCACTGCTCCCTTATTAGCAATCAAGATTCTGCATAATTTCAGCAAGGAAGCTTCTTCCATTAGAGCAGCAGTTCTTCGTGTGGGGTGTACACTTCCTCTGCCAGGTATAAAATAAAAAAAAAATATATATATATATATATATATTTTTTTTGTGTGTGTTTTCATTGCTCCCTGGGTTTGCATGTTTGAGCACAATTAATGAGTAACTACTGCAGATAATAGAGTTTTCATACATCCCCAGAGCAGCAGCATCAAGGGCAGGAAGCAGCTTCCAGGCATAGTACCTTACTTGCCGGCTGCCTGCACTCCACTTTCCAGAGGTTGGTGTTTAACTTTAAAGATTTAATTAAATTTTAAATATAAAAGTTAGTAGAATTGTTGCAGCATTTCCTATGCTGCAGCAATCCTTGTGTCATCTGTTTCACAGATGACGCATGTAGTATGGCAGCATAGGGTGTTGTACAACACTACAAGAATCTACTGACCCTTAGATTTCTACATGTTTTTATATACCGTGTTAGTATAGTACTGATTTTGTCTCTAGTTATGTTTCCAGTTGGTAATGTACTGGCTGTATCTGCAGAGGTTTCTGGTTGAGTCTGTACAGTACTTATACAGTATATAAACTGTGATGGAGGACATTTACTTTTGCATATAGCTGAAAAAAAGTTACTACATTGCACAACTTGCATAAAAGGCTTACATTATGTTTTATACTTTTTAGCAGTTCTTAAATCCATAGGGGAGACCTGCAATGTAGACCAGACCTCAGGATTTAGATGTAGGGAGAAATCATGGGGAAAAAGTGTTAGAATCACTGAATTAGAGAGAGCAGCAAATGATTCTGCTGTGGAATTGACAGTGTGACATGGCCCCAACAATGCACAGGTAAGAGAATTCCTATTATATTTAAAAAAAAAAAAAAAATATTACCTGACATGATCCTGGATTCACAAGCTTCACTGAGAGCAGCAGAGCCATGAGCTCCTGTTGTTTGTCAATCACATTCTGTTGGGGGGGTTGTGGCTGAGGTTTGCTGTGTGTCTATGGAAGCACACAGCCTGGCTTGGGAGCACTTCTGCACAAGTGCCCCCCACAGCACAGTGCTTAGTATGGGGGCACCCGGTAAAGGAAGCTGTGAGAGCGCACCAAAAAAGGGACTGTTCTGTGCAATAGCATTGTACAGAGCAGGTAAGTATAATGTGTATTTTTATTTTATTAACTTTAATTTACTAGTTAATGCAGCTGCGCTTCTACCTGGTTATGAGGCAAATGTACACTGTTGGCAACCTTTTAATGTCTAAAGTTTTTCTGTAGTAGTTTCCCAGCTATAATATTGGACCCAGGCTGCCAATATTTTTCATGATTGCTTAACATGTACTGTAGTTTATATATCAGTAGTATTGTGTGGTGCTTATTTTGAGCTGTACTTTTAACCTCTATGCTTTGAAAGCAAGCATTTGTTCAAGCAACTGAATTGGGAAACCTTTTCTTTTTTTTCTTTCCTCTGTCTGACCATCTTAAGATATGAAAAGTGGAATAGTCCTTAACTGGTCTGTCTTTCCATTTTAGTGTGGTCCCAACCTTCAAGTGTACAATGTCTTCATAGACAATCTTGACGTGCGCCTCCCTCGTATTGCTTTATTTTCAACGAGACATATAAAAGCTGGAGAAGAGCTGACATTTGATTACCAAATGAAAGGTGACTATTTCACATAAGATTTTATGTAATTATACTTTTGTGATGTCCATCGTGTAGGGCAGTGTTTTTCATCCTTGTATCATTGGGGCGCCCCTGAAAAGTCCTGAGGGACTCCATTCTAAGGCTTAGTTCACATCACTGTGAATCACGGAATGTGCACAAAATCATGCGTGTTCCAGACACGCAAATAAGCGCACTGCAGGGGTCAGGGAATTCTTTCCCTGTATTTCTGCAGGGCAGCCACTCAGATGAGAACCAAGGGCTTGTTCACATGTGAGGTTGGAGAGTGGTAAAACCACACAGTCAGCTGTGTTTTTACCATTCCCAACTGCTTCCCCTTTGTAGAGTACACATGCTGAGGCTGCAACTGGAAACATACCCCCAGGCAAATGAGGGTTTACTGCAACTGTGATGGTTGCGGTGTGATGATGCTGAATTTAGGGGTTATAACAGGCGCTGAGGAGGCAATATATTGCTTCTTCACTGCCTGTCAAATGCCTCTGAAAAGTGATCTGAGCATGTATTGCTTTTTGGAGTGTTGGTCCTTGCTGGTATTCTATACAAACCCTAAAAAAATTAGTTCTGATCCTACAGGAGCAGGGAGTCAGGATTAAGGTGTGTGTTTGTGTTTATAATAAATAAAATATATATATATATATATATATATATATATATATATATATTATATATTACTTTGGATGTAAACACACATTAAAAAGCATATTTTAAATGCAGGAGAACTTTATCTAGGAAATGCACACACATATAATACACACTTTGTGAGAGAGAATGAAGGGGAAGACCACTATGACAAAGGCGTATTCTAGCCCCTTTACCTCCTCTTTATACTGCTATATTAGCCTTCTATCACGACCAACAACACCACCATCAGTCCCACCCCTCAAGCCAGAGTACTAGATGTCATCCTAGACTCCAATCTGTATTTCCAGCCCCAGGTCCAATCGCTGACAAACTCATGTAGACTTCACCTCCGCAACATCTCCAAAATACGACCGTTCCTAACTCCGGAAACCACTAAGCAACTCATTCACTCCTTTATTATTTCACGCCTTGACTACTGTAACTCCCTCATCGGCTTACCTCATCACAGGCTATCCCCACTTCAGTCTATCCTGAATTCTGCGGCCAGACTCCTCTACCTTACTAACCGCTCCGTATCCGCCACCCCCCTCTGCCAATCCCTCCACTGGCTTCCGATTGCCCAACGGATAAAATTCAAAATGCTGACACTGACGTAAAAAGCTATTCATAACACTGCCCCAAACTACATCACAAATCTGGTATCCAAATACCAACCAAAACGTACTCTCTGCTCCTCACAAGACCACCTACTCTCTAGTTCCCTGGTCTCCTCCTTCCATGCCTGTCTCCAGGACTTCTCCAGGGCTTCGCCCATCCTCTGGAACTCCCTACCCCAGTCCATCAGGCTATCCCCTACTCTCCACCTTTAGGCTCACCCTGAAAACCCATCTCTTCAGGGAAGCCTACCCCGCCCTCACCTAATTGCTGATCTCCTCCACTCTTCCTACCACTCTATCCCCGATAGCCATTTCCTCCTGTACCACTATCCCCTCCCTCCTAGATTGTAAACTCCAAGGAGTAGGGCCCTCGAACCCCTTGTGTATTGAATTGTATTGTTACTGTACTGTCTCGTATACTGTCTCCCATTATAATGTACAGCTCTGAGCCAACTATTGGCGCTATATAAATCCTGTATTATTATAATATATGAATTGTGTGTAATACTTTTATGTATTTGCCTCCTAGCAACCAGTTTCTTTCTTGTAACATGGAAGGGAGACACTAATTGGTTGCTAGAAGGAAAAATGGACTGTTCAGTTTGACATTTTAAACAGTGGATATAAAAAGTCTACACACCCCTGTTAAAATGTCAGGTTTCTGTGATGTAAAACAAAGATAAATCATTTCAGAACTTTTTCCACCTTTTTTAATGTAACCTATAAACTGTACAACTCAGTTGAACAACAAACTGAAATCTTTTAGGTGGAGGGGAGTAAATATAAAAAAAACTGAAATAATATGGTTGCATAAATGTGCACACCCTTACATATACTTTTGTTGAAGCACCTTTTGATTTTATTCCAGCACTCAGTCTTTTTGGGTTTGAGTCTATCAGCATGGCACATCTTGACTTGGCAATATTTGCCCACTCTTCCTTGCAAAAACACTCCAAATTTGTCAGATTGCGTGGGCATCTCTTGTGCACAGCTCTCTTCAGATCACCCCACAGATTTCCCATCGGATTCAGGTCTGGGATACGGCTGGGCCATTCCAAAACTTTAATCTTCTTCTGGTGAAGCCATTCCTTTTGTTGATTTGGATGTATGCTTTGGGTCGTTGTCATGTTGAAAGATGAAGTTCCTCTTCATGTTCACCTCTCTAGCAGAAGCCTGAAGGTTTTGTGCCAATATTGACTGGTATTTGGAACTGTTCTTCCCTCTACCTTGACTAAGGCCCCAGTTCCAGCTGAAGAAAAACGGCCCCAAAAGCACGATGCTGCCGCTGCCATGCTTCACTGTGGGTATGGTGTTCTTTTGGTGATGTGCAGTGTTGTTTTTGCTCCAAACCTGTCTTTTGGAAATGTGGCCAAAAAGTTCAACCTTGGTTTCATCAGACCATAACACGTTTTCCCACATGCTTTTGGGAGACTTCAGATGTGTTCTTGCAAAAATTAGCCAGGCTTGGATGTGTTTCTTCTTAAGAAAAGGCTTCCAGCTTGCCACTCTACCCCATAGCCCAGACATATGAAGAATACTGGAGATTGTTACATGTACCACACAGCCACCCAGTACTTGCCAGATATTCCTGTAGCTCCTTTAATGTTGCTGTAGACCTCTTGGCAGCCTCCCAGACCAGTTTTCTTCTCATCTTTTAATCCGTTTTTGGAGGGACGTCCAGTTCTTGGTAATGTCACTGTTGTGCCATATTTTCTCCACTTGATGACTGTCTTCCATGGTATATCTAATGCCTTGGAAATTCTTTTGTACCCTTCTACTGACTGATATATCTTTTAACAATGAGATCTCTGATGGTTTGGAAATTCTCTGCAGACCATGGCTTTCGCTGTAGGATGCGACTAAGAAAATATCAGACCTACTAGAACAGCTGAACTTTATTTGGGGTTAATCAGAGGCATTGTAAATGATGGCATGTATGTACTGACTCCTATTTAACATGATTTTGAATGTGATTGCTTAATTCTGAACACAACTACATCCCCATTTATAGGAGGGTATGCACACTTATGCAACCACATTATTTTAGTTTGTTTACTCCCCCCAAAAATATTTCAGTTTGTTTTTCAATTGAGTTGTACAGTTTATAGGCCACATTAAAAGGTGGAAAAAGTTCTGAAATAATTTCTCTTTTTTTTTACATCACAGAAACCTGACATTTTAACAGGGGTGTGTAGACTTTTTATATCCACTGTACATTAGATACCTTTACAATTTGTGAATTGCACACACTTGCATTTCTGGAATATAATTTTTAAGACAAAACTTTTGTAACTTACTTTCTTGTAATTTTAGGTTCTGGAGATCTTAGTACAGATTCTATTGAGCTGAGTCCAGCGAAAAAAAGAATAAGGACAATGTGCAAATGTGGAGCTTCAGCTTGCAGAGGATTCCTTTAATATCAATGTTCCAATATGTTGCATATTTGCTGTGATGATTTATTTTTTAAAGAAAAAGGATTATATTTTAGTGACTTTGTATGAAAGATACAGCTTGGTGGGAATGTGTGTTTATGCTTTAATAAATTTTAATGCTTATTTTTGAACTTTTGTGTTGACATAAATGTGTTTTTATACTAGATAAAGATAGCTAATGGAAAAATGGTTTCGTACATTCTATGAGAAGTCGATGTAAAGCATTTATTTCATTGGCCTGCAACTGTGCAAAGAAATGGCTTCTTAGTTAAAGGTAGCATTTCACAAACTTAAAAAACCAACAACACTGCTGGGTTCACAGATTTCACACGTAAGCAATGTCAGGAAGTGATATCTTGCTTCTCTGCATGTGATCACTGATTGGCCAATCGGTGATCACATGATCGGGACCTCTCACAGAGGTCCCGTACAACGATCGGTGTTCCACTGTTTTCGGAGGACACTGCGGGCACCGGATCGCGGTGCTGCACGCTCCCAGGGCGCACGCGCAGTCCAAAAGGGCGAGCACTGTTTATGAACGGCAACCCGCTCCTTGACTGCCACAGTCTGGCCATTTTTATATACAGCAGCGGCCGGACAGCAAGTGGTTAAAAGGTATAGCCTGAGGTGTGGGTTTTTTTTTTTGTTTTTTTTTTTTTTGGCTGTACTTTTCCTGTGGATCACAGGATTGCAGTTCATTCTGCACTCCTGTGACCTGTTTTCAGCGGGCTGAAGGCCACTGTTGGCTGATGTCACTCAGCTAGTCCAGGCTGGGGAAAGAGTCTGAAGTGGCACCTGGCTCAGCCTTTCAGCGAGCGCTGGGGGGTGCTGAGAAGACAGCGGTGACTGACAGTCCTTCTCTGCTCAGAGTGGAGAGGAGAACTCATGTTCTCACCCTTAGAACCAGCGGGGGACCAATGCTGAATTCACCTAGGTAAGTATAAATAGGAGAAAAAAGAAAGCCCTACTTCTCTTTTAATGATACTTAAGGTCTATCACATCTCCACTCTACTGTGGATGCCACTCCCTGGCTTCACACCAGGAAATATAAGATTTCCAGGTCCTGTAATAGATGCTCCTTGAAGCCGGCTTCCTGGTGCGCAACAGCGTGGATATAACTGGACCTGAGCTTAAATAGCCAAATTGTCAAACTTGCTGATTGTAAAGCAGGATGCAATACTGCACCCTGAGACCTTGGGTCTGGCCAGACCGGAAATGTCCAAGCACCGTCCACTGCTAGATTCATGGCATACCAAGCCCTCCTGGGTCAGGCCG